TGGGAGATTCAAAGTTCTGAAGAAGTATTTCTATGCGTGTGTTATGAAAAGTGGGCTTGGAGACAAGGAGGAAACTATGACATTTCAGCAGGTGGTGGTAGTTTTACCTGGGGGTGGGGACAACTAATAATAAACACACAACTGTAGTGATTAAGGGAAGATTGGGGAAGCACTGCCAATAAGGAATGACTAAGGTATTTGGAAAATCGGTTGAAGACTGAAGACAGAGATAGAGACAGAAATAGAAGTAGAGATTGAGATAGTTAATATAGGAATTTTTGTCTCTTTCATAATAACCAAGATCACCCAATGAATCAGGTTTGCAACAGAACCAGCAGAGGCAAGATAACTGCATAAATAAAAATGTATTAATTGTAACATCCTGTGGCATTTTAAGAATTTATTACATCCTGACTTGGACAATATCCACTTTATCAAATGAATGGTTATCCAGAACAGGAAATATAAACAATGAGGTCACAGGACGATGAGGCATAATGTAGTTATTATTATCTTATTGAAGTTACCATTCAAAAAACAATTTGATTTCTTTATCTAAATCAGCACATTTCCATCCTGAAAGCTCTGCTAGGCACCTAAAAAGGAAAAATATAAAATCCAATCAAAGGCTTTTGTGAAGGAGTCCTGATGTGGGGCTGAAAGTGAAAAAGTGACTGATTTCATGTATTGTATATTTTGCTTTGTCAACAAAGTCACAGTTGGCTAGATTTACTAATACGCTAATTCCAACTCATTCAAATGGTTGCAGGTTGTATGGACCCACCCTATGGCTTTTTTAGCGTCATGTAATTTGTCCACAAGTTGGTTGCATTTCTCGGAAAAGTTTTGGCTCATAACTCAAGGCTTTTTTCTGGGTCCATCACTGTCATGAAACATTCAAGCAGTCTTTGTGATATCCCAGAAGGAAGCAAACAAACTGCCTACAGTCATCTGGTATCCTCTTGGTTGGATTATTGTAATACACTGTGGATCAAATTGTCTTTCAGGATGAGCTGGAGCATTTAGATAGTGCTAATAAAGCTGTGAGAGCTTAAACTGGAACTGGGTATGGTGGTCATGTGATGCCAACACCGGCTTCCAATTAATTTTCATGCCAAAAGCACAAGGCAGCTTTTAGCCAACTAAATTATGCACGGTTTAGAACTGTGTGAACTCTTCTTTCTATATCTGCTGTTCTATACCGTAAAGTCATTATGGGGAAAACCTTCTTTAAGTATATAGAGATATGGCGGGGAGAGGGGGTGAAATCTAATATAACAGCTCACTGATTGGCTGCCAGGCCTCTGATCATGCCCAGTAGGATTCTATGTTTTCCATCCTTTTTGGAGAAGGCAGATGAAATTGGGACTCAGAGAGAATGAACTGTGATTTTAATATTCTAACTCCCTTGGGTGGTACAACAGGTAACCAGGATTCAGGAAGATCTCAGGATTTCATTACTTTTCAGCATAGAAGTCTTAATTATGCATTTATACAATCTTGAAATCTTGGGTTTCTTTTTCCTTTGTTTTTAATCTTTTGATTCCTTTTCCCCTTTCTTTCCTTTTTTCAATTAGTTTTGCTTTGGTTTTTCCTTCTATGCAAATAGTATTTCCCATAATAGTGTTGTAGTTTACATAGAAGTGTGCTACTAAATGTTATCAACTGTATTGTTTTTATAAAACTCAATATTTAAAAAAATCTTTAGGAATATTTGCTCTGAATTTCAGAGTAGATTTATTATCTTGATAATTATTTGTGTTAGCTTATATCTGTTCTTTTTATTTGCTTGTGTATATATTACTCTGTAACTTCTTGAAGTTCTGCCTCTTTATTCTCACTCCTATTCTTAGAATTAATTCATTTGAAAATACTTAATAGACCTATTTTGATTTGAATCCAAAATATTTCAATCCTCCAAAGAGGAGAGAGAGTGATGCTTTCTAGCACTGTGCCTTCCAGGCAGATGGTCCAGGAGTTATGCCTCAGTGATTGGAATTAAACTTAAATTAGGCTTAGATTAATGCAATTATGGAACCAACCAACCTGCCAGCAGGCAAACCCAGGGTAGGGCAAAAGATCCTAAGAAGTCTAGGCACCCCTCCCTGTGATGCCAGTTGTCCCAAAATGCATTGTTATTCTTAACTCAGAGGGTGACAGAGAAGACTGTGGGTGACAATTGACAATTTTTTTGATGCTCTTCCATCAGAAGCCCACCTAATACTCATATAACTACTGTTGCAGTACTAGGCAATGACTTTTCCATTTTCTTTGCTTTTAAAATACTTAGATCTTAGATCTATTTGCTCTATTTAGGCTAAATGATTATATTCATTTAGATGAATACTTTTAGTCCCTGCAATTTAATCCCTGACCATATTTTAGTTTGTATTTGTATTATTTTATTCTGTATTTTACTGCATTTTCTTATGTTAATTGTACAGGATTTGTTTAAAAAATTAAATCTTCACAATCACCAGCTGGAAGTAAGCAGCCACCCAGGAATTGGGTCACATAAAAGAAAGCCAAAAGGAACAAGAAAAATGGAACACTTACAAATAATTGTTTGAAATATCAAAGAGAAGATTCAAAAGATTCAAAACGGCAAGTAATTGCCGTTTCTAAAAAAAATGGATGGAAGAAATGTTTTCAAGATATCGGGTAAAATATCATGACTAATCAAGTAGAAAATCTCTATATAAATCACTTAGTTAAAAAAGCATTTTGGCCTTTTTTTTGAGTAGAGTTTTCTAGTCTTGTTACTCAAACTAATTAATTTATGGTTTATTCAAATTAGATTTTTTTTTTTTTTGTAAATGTGAATTTAAAAACCCTGAAAACCTCTGGTTATTATGCAGTCTCAAAAGTTTTACTTTTTCAGATGGCTATTCAAGAATAAATTTGATGTTACAAAGATTTTTGAAACAGCAACTTTATTACTATCATCATTGTCCTAGTCATTTGCCAGTTTTCTAAATCTGCCTGCTTTGCCTCCCAGTTGTGCTTTGGAAGAATGCCATCATCATCACCCAAACTGTTCTGGGGAAGGCAAAGATGAATTCCTGTTGCATATGGCTTGACCATAATGCAGTCTGTGCTGATGATGTTCAAAGAACCAATTTTATAAATAATGGGAAGTACTGGGAAGGTGCATAATTTTCCTGCAGATTCACTGTGGGTTACAAAGCAAGAAAATTTTCACAGATGATGGCCAGATACAATAGTAGCTGAGAACAGCAAAGATTTAATTCAAGATGAATTAGGTGACAAATGGGGAAGGGAAATGACAAACTTCCAAAGCCAGATTTTTTAAAACTTATTTTTTTAAAAAAGACAACTTATTTAAAGGGAATAGAAGTGAATAGATAGGATACTGGGGCATTTCCCAGCTTGACCATGCTACTGAAAATTGATTTTATTTATTGCACATTTGTACTGCCTCACAGTTAAAGACATCTCCAAAGCCTAAAACCATAATAGTGTTTTCATTATTATGTTTTCATTATGCAACGTAGCGAAAAATGTAGAACACATGAAAACTGAATAGGATCCTTCAAGGAGCATTATTTCTATAGCCACAAGTTCCACTGTTTGTATTCCTCCTTCCTGTTGGCCAGAGAACCCTATCACTTACTATTTGATGAGGAAATGCAAATATAGAAAATCAAAGTTGCAATTCCCTTGTTGTTCTTTTGTCTGCCGTTTCCTTCATAAATCTCATATCTTCATCAGACCATCTTACTGTGGACACATCTGCCTACTCTGAAGTATGAATTAGGTACTGCAAGGACTTACTGTATTAGAGGAGATAAGTGGTTGGGAGCAGAAACACAATAACTCAACTGTACATAATTATAATTTAACCAAAATGGAGCATTATTTGCCTGGAAAGAGCCAAGGAAAGTATGAATAGCAGAAATGCTGAGCCAAGAAAGAACATTTCAGGTCTTTAATGCTGATTTAAACTGACAAACCATAAAATAGCTTCCTCTTTTTTGTGGTTGTCTTCTGAAACTTTTTAAAATGCGGTTGTTTGGCAGAAACAGCAGAACTTCGTTAGCATAAGGAAGCAAAATGTGTCTGGGCATTAATTTCTCTCTCTACCTCCTTCCCCAGTAATGACATTTTGATTGTCTTAGCAATTAATATTTATTGTTGCTTTTTGAAATTTGAGTTCAGACACCCTTAAATTTATGAGAATCATGTGTGCTAATATTTAGTTCATTATGTTACTATATTTATGTCCTCAGGAGACAGACTCTGGGTGGTATACAAAAACAAAATCATAAAAACAAGCCATGTAATAAAACATTGGAACTCCCACAACAGGGTAAAATGACATCCTCCCACCCCTAAATGTATCAAAGAAGAAATAATGACTGCCTGGTCATCATGAAGCTTTGAAGGCTGGTTTTCACAGCTTTGCAGATTGTAATGGGGGGACTTACCTCTGGGGGTAAGGTGTTCCAAAGAATCAGAGTTACACAGAAAGGGCCTGTCTTTTGGTCTACAGCTTCTTCACTTCCAAAGGGATGGGAACTTAAGAGGCCATCTCTAGATATGTTGACAGATGGGCAGAATCATTCTGAAGAAGGTGGACCCTTATATAACCCAGGGTCATATCATAAAGGACTTGAATAACTGGCACATGGAATTGAGCCCAGAAGCCAACAGTAACCAATACAAACTGGACAGTAGGTATTATACTGCAGTAGTGAGTCTCATTTACCAGCAACCTGGCTAATACCAGTTGTAGCTTTGGAGTTGTCTTGCAAGGCAGCCCCACATAAAGCATGTGGCAATAGCTGAGCAACATTTTTTACAGGTTCTGCTTGTATTGTCCAGCTGTATCTTAACCTCAGACAACTGTGCAAGGCTTAAGTGTAAATGATGTGAAGTGGGATATGTGATAAGTGTGTGGGACCTCTGACCAATGCAGAAATTATAGACATGGTACTATGCCCAAGAATTGGTGGACAATATTATAACTTACCCAGCAAAGCATTTATTAATAACTGCTACATTATTCATTTTGATTACATAGAAGTTGCATCACTGCCAAAGGCTTCCACACAATGGAAACTGTTTTTAACAGAAACAGGAAGGAAGGAAGGAAGGAAGGAAGGAAGGAAGGAAGGAAGGAAGGAAGGAAGGAAGGAAGGAAGGAATCAATCTACAGAATTCAAAGTTGGAAGGACAAAATCTGTCATCCACTCCCAATTCCTGTACCATTGACTTTTAAATGACTTGATGGAGATTGCATACTTCCTCTTAAATCAGAGGTCTTTCCAAGTGCCAGTAGGTTGTTTGGTAACAGATATAATACATCCTCCTGTAAAACATAGAGCTACTAGCTGTACTCCATTTAAAAAAAAAGTCAGCAGCACAAGAGTAATCAGGATTTTATACCGAGTTCTAACCTAGTGAGCGCTTAAGCATTTACATGGGATTCTCTCATTTATAGCATATAGATGAAGTTATCCAAAGAGAATCACCTGTGTCCAGAAGTATCAGATGTGTCAAATGGTACTTCCCTTTCTTTCTGCACATCTGGAACTTTCTTTTCTTCCAACTGACTTTCTGTTTTCAGCCCTACTAAAAATAGCACATTCCCATTCTATATGTGCAGGACAGCTTTGTGACTCTGCTAAGATGTACAGTGATGATATTTTGTTTTCATTTTTGTTTCGTATGCAATTGTGAAAATTATTCATAGTAATCATTGGCATGGATTAATATTATTCTACAGTATTCATAAATATAGACAGTAAAGAGGATTGTATACCTTAGGGTGCTCTACACACACACACACACACACACACACAATGAATAAGGTAGCTTTACCATGGTAAGAAGGCAAGGGAACAGGACCAAACTTGGTTGCTATCTCACATTCTAAATGTAGTTCCTGGCTTGGAGGACAGATCTTCCAACAATGGAAAAGAGAGGAAATGCAAGAAAGATAGAGACGCGCTGAACCATCTTCCTCAACATTATCTATGCTTTTTGGGTCTCCAAGGTCTCAGGCATAACCTTCAAGTTTTACTTGAAAATAATTGGGCATAGCCAGAAAATCTTTTATTGGGAAAAGCATACTGTTTCATTGGAAGTGAGACCGACTCTTCAGTGTCTCATAATCTACTGAGCACAAGAGGAGATGGGATGCATCTAGAGAGTGAAGGTGGAGTCCCTGGGGTTCTCTGAGCTTGGTTGTTTTCTTGCAAATGTTTCATTACCCGGCTAGGTAACATCTTCAGTGCTAGAATGGAAGAGAGCGAAGGATGCGTCTCTCACTCTGTCTGATGTTTGCCTCTGAGTTCGTTGATCTCAGGTTGCTTCCTTTCTCTGCATGGTGTATTGAGCTAGGTATTAGGTTTTCCCCATCCCCACCATGTATTTCCTAAAATGGTCCTCTTTTTCCAATAAAGTCATAAATTCACTTACTCACTTATCCTTGCTCGGGTTAGATTCCCTCTGTCAAGAATACTAACACAAATATACACATCATGCTACTGCAAATATTTTTCCCAAGCAAAAGGAAAGCAAGGAAGAAATTTGAGACAATAAGTATGTGGAAGGGGAGAGAATGAAATTACAAAAGAGAATTGGTTCAGTTGAAGTACTCTGGGAAAAGCAGGAGAAATTCTAGATGAGGATGAGAGGAAAATAAACAGAGAAGAAAACAGAAAGAGATGTAAAGGATGCTTCAAAATCAAGCAGCATATATTATACAATTGAATAAAAGTGCATGTATTCTTTCTTTTATTTTCTCCAGACTCCTAGAGGTGAAAAAGAATGATGCTGCTCTATCTTGTTTCTTTCCCACTCCTCATTTTTCTCTGAAGGCACTCCCATTTTCCTGACCAATAAATGGCCACTTGCCTCCTGAAGTGAAGTAATCCAAGGCGCACTACATTCAAAAGTACTTACTACATGAAGTAAGTAGCCATTTCTTGAATCCAACAGCACCCTCAGATCTCAGATAGGCCTGAGACAGCTTTTTAAAAGATAGAACAAATTATCAACCACCCCATAAACTGTGGGAAGAAGGAAAAAGGAAAGGGAGAAGAGGAGGGAGGGGAAGAAGAATAAGAAATCTGTTAATGCCTGAAGCTCATTGCAAATATTTAGGTTGAGGTGGAGGGCATTCTGTTCTATTTTAACTTTTTTGTCTTGTCAGGAGCTTGTAAATGACCTGGGAGCCATCATCCCAGGCAAAGAGCTGCTTGTCTCTGGGATAATAATGAACCATAGAGTGACTTGACTGGCGTTTGGGAAAACGGATTACTGGGTTTTCATATGGACTGATGACATCTAAGGTGTCATAGATACATTCTATTTGAGAGGCACCTCCTGGTGAATTGTATACAACATAGAGAACACCACACATCATGAAAGCAGCTTCTGCATTCTGGCTTCTGCAGGTTGTATCCCATGTATATTCCACAGTCATGGTTTCATGGTTGATTTTAGTAATCACAAGCTTTCTAGCAATATCTGGTTCTGCATGGATTGCCCATAATCCTAATTCATCCACAGCGAAGTCTATTTTAGTAGAAGGGTGAAGTTCATAGGCAGGTATCTCTCCAGCACCTGACAACAGCATCTGATCAGTTGCATTTCTGTTCTGAATATCAAACTTAATTATCTCATTTAAGGAGCCGTATCTATGATAAAACAGAAAGCCATTATATATAGCATGGCCTGTTCCTTGCCAGGGAAATGGTAGTGCAACTCTGCGAGCCAGATGTTTGTTACCACTTTCAGCAAAAGCCCGAATATTTGCAAACTCCATAACAATTTTATTCTTTGTTCCAGTTAAGAAGTAAATCTTTTGGTAATTCTTGCCAGGGTCTTTCAGCCATGAGCCATTTGCATCTCCAGACTTCTTGACTACCTTTAGGGATTTGAAGCCTGTAATCATGTAGTTGCAACCTTAAAAAAATAAAAAAAAGATAAACAGTAGGCCATCACCAATATCGTACTCTGATGTAGTACCTCAATATCCCCTCTTGTCTGAGCAAACATAAATGAAGAAAGCATACATTGGTAGCCAACACTGGCTATGTAGTTGCCATCATTCACCGTCCTTTTTTATTTTCGCAAAGGAAAATAACCAGCATGCTATTTTACAGGGTCTGCCCTCTCCTGTTGTTCCTAGTTGGGTTAGGACTTCTTTTCACAGAGGCCACTGGGGCTAAATGCCATGTAGGAAGAGCAGTTCTTAAAGTTGTAAAGTTGTTGGTGCCATCCTTATAAAATTTACATATTTCATAATAAGCCATCAAATATTCATACCTAGGGAGCCTGAATGTTCTTGTTTTTCCATTTCTTCTTTATCCTACTTTCCTTTTGAGCTGATCTTTTTAAGGCAGATAGCCTGAGAACAGAAACTTTCTTCTTTTTTATTTATTAGTAAGTTACTCAGAGAGCCTTTTAAGCTGAAAGTATGGCATAAATGCTTTAAACGTCATTCATTAAATAAATATATTCACTCCCTCCACAACATGGCTCATTTAGTACAGTAATCCTCCTGCCATCTTATTTTTGTTAAAAAAGAGTCATGAGTTAGAAAATTCTTCATGTTATGTTGGCATTCGTGTTGCAAAAAAACTAAGGTCATATAAGCACCTATATACTCAGGCTACAGAGCCCATCTTAGTATTATATTTTTGGAGTGGCAGATTCTCAAAATTGGCATTTTTAAAATGGAGATGCTTCCTGATTTTTTTAAAAATACAAGACATCAGAAGCTGAATTTGAAATCTACTGCATTCAAAGCCATGAAACAGTCAGGTATAAATTCAGCTATACGTACTATGTATGTGTGCACATCACACATAGCAAGCTAATACATGCACACACACATACAATGGTTGTGGGAGATAATAGTAATCAGAGTCCATAAAGTCTCTGCAGCTCAGAGTCAAGAAAAGTCCATGTAAATAGCCCTCAGCTCTGGCTTGACATTAGAGTATCACTGGAAAAAAAAATAAAATCCTCTTTTCCTATTACGAAAACAATGCATGCAATTTGATATGGACAGAAGGGTTGCCAAAGTCATGCTGGATTCCAGAACACAAACATTTTTGTTAAAGTTGTATTTTGTTTGGTTGATTACAATATACTTATATTATGGTTTACTCATGCAGATAAGTAGCCTACCAAAGGCTATATGGATAGAGAGCAGGCTATTTAAAGTTATAAATAAATAAATAAATAAATATGGTCAGCACTCAGAGTAGACAAACCCTTCAGGAAGGATGCTGTAGTAGAAAACATAAAACAACCTTTGTCATATTACTACCACCCTGTTTAAAGGACTACTCCAGATTAGTTGAAAGGAGTGGAAATATTTCCA